GAGGCTGCCCTCTAGCGTAGACTTTTGGTACTCCCGCTTCTCCATTTACAAGAGCATCCCTTTCTCCTGCCGTGTGTCTGGGGCCTCTGTGGACCCTCCTGACCAACCGTCTTCTTGCCTGCAGATCATCGGGCAGGTGTATGCTGATCCTGACTGCCTGCCCCGCACACTGGACTTTGGCCTCAATGTCAAGCTTTTCTGGGAGAAGTTTGTCCCAACAGACTGCCCCCCGGCCTTCTTCCCCCTGGCTGCTATCTGCTGCAAACTAGAGCCTGAGAGCAGGTTGGTGTCTCATCTTTCTTCCCATCTCACAGCCCTAAGGTCCTGAGATGCTTGCTTTAGGTGATCCCATGCCCTTCCCTTGAGCTTGAGAGTAAGCTGCTAACCACTGAAGCCACCTGACAGCTCTGACATGCCACACCAGGGGGTAGCAAGTGGGCTGGACAAGATGGAGTCAGAGACATTAAAAGCAGTTGTTTTTCTTTTTTAAAGATCTGGGCTAGAGCCGGGCAGTGATGATGCACACCTTTAATCCCAGCACTCAGGAGGCAGAGGCAGGCAGATCTCTGTGAGTTCGAGACCAACCTGGTCTACAAGAGCTAGTTCCAGGACAGCTTCCAAAGCCACAGAGAAACCCTGTCTCAAAAAAAGGTCTGGTCTAGGCATGTGGGTCCATGATTAGAGTGTTTGTCTGGAATGAGTGGGCCACGGGTTTAGTTCTCTGCTCTGGGGGGGTTCGTATGACTGAGGGACAGAGAGGGCTTGCCTGTCATGTGCCAGGTCCTGGTTTACCCTTAGCAAGCACACATGAACAGATGCTCCACTCACCCGCACATCTTCAAAAAACTAAGTGATTAATTTTACATCATGTGACTTTTATCTAAAAAATTGCTTTTAATTGTTAAAATGGGTCAGTTAGTACTGTACTTAGCTGAGATGCATGAAGCCTTAGGTATGAACCCTAGCAATGTGTAAACTGGTCATGGTGGTAAGCATCTCTGATGCCAGGACTTAGGAGTCGGTAGGAGGGGGATCAGAAGTTCAAGGTCAGCTGGGCATGGTGGAGTATACCACGTTTAATCCCAGCACCCAGTCTCAGCACTCAGGAAGCAGAGTCGGGCAAACCTCTGTGAGTTCAAGGTCAGCCTGGCCAGAGCTATCTAGTGAGACCCTATCTAAAGGGGGGGGGATATCATTCAGTGTCCACCCCAACACATGAAAAGGAGGTACCTAGGGTAGGACCATGGGGCCTGTACAAAAAGTATCTAAGTTGGAGCAATAATACCTTAGAAGCTGTCTTCGTTACTTTTCTATTGCCATAACAAAACCATGACCAAGGCAACTTACAGAAGAAAGCATTTAGTTGGGGTTGCTGATGGCTTCAGAGGTGAGACCATTGTCAGACAGGTGTGACACTAGAGCATTATCTGATCCATAAGCAGGGTCTGGCTCAGGCTTTTGAAACCTCAAGAGCTCAGTGACGTACTGGCCCAGCCAGGACACACCCTAACCCTTCTAAAACAGTTCCATCAAACATCAGCCTATGTCAGCGCTCTCATTCCAGCCACCCCAGGAGCCCAGGGTATGGCTTGGTGACAGAGCTCTTGCCTGACACACAATAGGGGTCCCTCCGTCCCTGCCACATGTTCTTTTGGGGGGTCTCTCAATCTTCTGTTGTTTGCAGATTTGTGCTTGAGACAGTGTCTCAGGTAGCCCAGGTTGATTCAGACTAGATACATAATTGAAGATGACCCTGAACTTCTGACCTCTTGCTTCTACCTCCTACGTGCTAGGACAACAGGTGTGCACCATCATGCCCGGTTAATATGCTAAGACTTGAACTCAGAGCTTTATGGATGGTAGGCAATCACTCCCTGTATCAGCTGGGCCATGTCACTGGCACCCAAATTAAAAGTCCAATCTCACCTTTGATTGCTGTCTGTACATGACAGGGCAGCCGGTGCTGGTGGCGCACGCCTTTAATCCCAACACTCGGCAGAGGCAGGCGGATCTCTGTGAGTTTGAGGCCAGCCTGTACAAAGTTCCAGGACAGGCTCCAAAGCAACACCAAGAAACCCTGTCTCAAAAAAAACAAAAGACACGAAAGGGCTTCTTTTCTCTGTGGATTGTGTTGCCTTCAGCCAGGATCTCTCTCTTCGCACAGCATTACCTTTTGTACTTACAGCAAAGAGGTTAAAGGGTGTGCCTGAGGCCACAGAACCAGGAGTCCTCCCATCCCTACTCATGTTCTCCCTCTTCACCCCCCCTTCTCTCTGTAGACCAGCATTCTCAAAGCTGGAGGACTCCTTTGAGGCCCTGTCTCTGTACTTGGGAGAGCTGGCCATCCCGCTGCCAGCAGAGCTGGAAGAACTGGACCACACTGTGAGCGTGGAGTACGGCCTGACCCGGGACTCGCCACCCTAGCCCTGGCCCATCCCCCTGCAGGGGGGACATTGCACGACCAGCATTGCCCCCTCTGCGCCCTGTCCTTGCTATGAGCAGGACTAGCTAGGCTTCCTGTGGACTGCCGGCTTGCTTAGAAGCAGAATAAGCCATCCCTACTACCTCCCCAGGAGGCATACGGGTGCAGGGGAACAGTCCTCCACAGGTGCTGGGGCCTGGTTACTGTCTGTAAATCCAACACTCACCTGAAAGCTGTGAAGAAGATAAAAAGAGCCTGGATTCTAGACCAGGAGTCTGTTACTAGGGACTATTTGGGACCTTTGTGGCAGTGAGATTCTGGGAGGCTGTAGCTTTACACTAAACATGGCCTGGGCCTGCTGGGCAGGATGCCAGGATGAACTGACCTGAGGCTCCAGAGGCTCTGGCCCAGCGAGGTGAGGTGTAGGACTTGAAGCGGTAGTGTAACAACTGAGAGCCTTCAAAGCATGTGAAATGACAGTGGTGATTTCTCCTCCCACTCCAGGCCCTGCCCTCTGGAGCAGGCTTTGAAGAGTCTCTTAGTGTGTGGTGAAACCCACAGGATCCAGAAAAAGGACTGGTTTCTGCTCACCAGCCCAGGGACCACATCAGTGTGGGAGTTTCCACTTCAACATCCTGTCTCAACAAGCAGTCACTCACAAAAGCACCAAAGAAGCTGGGGCTGGAAAGAAAGAGGCCCCGCCCTTTAAAAAGCCCAGTATCCTGGCTGGTGGGCTCAGTCGGAAGCTCAAGACATTGTCCGATGCTAGACGGGTTCTGGGGGCCAGTGTGATCTGCCTCAGGCTCTGGGTCCAAGCAGGAAAAGGGGAGTCGCAGCAATTTCTTGGCGTCCTTGTGGCAGCTACAGCACATCTTTAGCATGTCTGGTCCAGGCAGCAACTTGGGACAGGAACTGGTGGCTGTTGAGTCCCAACGCTGAGATACAAAGAGCGCTCTCTGAGCTGGGCCTCTTGATTCTACCTCCCTTGTTGCTGGCCAGCTCTTACTTCCTGAGCCACACTCCAGGGCCATGGGCATTGGATACGTTGGGGACGCTACCAGGCGTCCAGGGACTCTCCAGCGCACTGAGGTTTGCCGTCTCCTAAGTGCGAGCTCACGCCGTATTTAACAAATTGGGAATGGGTTTGGTTTATAAATACAAGTTGTGGTGGGTTTTACTGGTGGGGGGGCGGTCAGGAGAGTGGTTGCTGTTATTAGTTTTTATCTATTGGGTGATATGTGAAATATTGTACATAGACAAGATGAAATTGTGGAGTGGGAAGCCATCTTTGGCCACTTTACTTGCTGTATAGACTGTACTTGTGTGTGGAGTTTGCAGACTTGCTCTAGGGGAACTCCCAGCATGGTTCGGCATCCTGTGACTGGTTATACTTGAGCTGTCCCCAGCAAGTGTGGGAGTGGTGGGCCTGAGCTGGGCCATGAAGCAGACTAAATAAATTAAGCAGTTACCATAGTGACGACACTGAGAGTGGAAAAGTAACTTAGGGCCTGACTTAAACAAGCTTGGGGGAGTTGGAGAGATTAAGCAGTTAAAAGCAATTACTGCTCTTGCAAAGGACCATGGTTTGGTTACCAGTGCCCATGTGATGGCTCACAACCACATAGAACTCCAGTTCCAGGGGTACTGAGCACCTCTTCTCACATCTGTGGGCTCCTGCACACATGTAGTACACGTATGTACTCTCAGGCACATACATTCACATCAGTTTTGTTTAGATTTTTTAAAAGAAACACAGGTGTCTGCCTACCTTCAGGCCCAAACCACTAAGTCCTCGCATCAGGGAACTCTCAGCCTCAAGTCTAATCCCCTCCCCAAGACAGCACACCTTCTGAGGTCATCCACATGAAGGAATCTAGTCCCTAGATAACAGCACGTGACCTGAGGTTCGCACTGCTGAAAAACAAAAAACCACTTAAGAGCACTGTTGAGCATGGACAAGTTAGCCCTGGATGGGTACACCAAGAACTTAACCTGATGCGGAGGTCCACTGCTACAACTTGAAGAAACACACCCTGGAAACCACCCACCCCAGTAGCTTCCCTCCTAACCCTAGGAACCACCTGCAAGAACCATCCTCAGTGTGGTGGCTCAGTGGTTAAGAGCACTGGCTGGTCATCCAGGGGTCCTGAATTCAATGCCCAGCAGCCATATGGTGGCTCACAACCATCTATACAGGATATGATGTCTTCTGGTGTGCAGGCACACATGCTAAACACTCATACATTTAAAAAAAATCCTCAGTCCCGGGCAGCCCATCTACCTGTTTCTCCTTTGGCTGCTATGAAACTGCTGCCTGCCCCTTGGTTTCTGGTCCACAGCAAAAGCTGTTGGGAGGATTATCCTAATTCCCCTACCTTGGAAAATTTTAAGGATCAACTTCTTGTGGCTTCAACCTTAAGATATTCATGGTGACCTTGACAATCATGGGGGGTACTGCATTTTATCGCAGTTCGGTCAGCTATTACTACCTCCCAATGACCGGACCACCGTGACCGAGAAGGCAGAGGTATGGACAGGTATTGGGGGAGTATTCCCAGCACCACAAAAATGCGGCAAGTAAGAGTTACGTTTTATGTTTATATAAGTCAAATGCAGAGCAATTTCCCACAGTTCATACACAGGTGTCAGAATGAGGTATATAAAACATACACAGAAATACTTTCATAGAAAAGTAGGAAGTAGTACTGTTCTCTTTCCCACAGTCCGCCATGGGAACCCTGAGGTCTAGGCCCCCTCAACAGATGGCTCCAGGGAGCAGCCTGGTGAAGGGAGTGGACCCCACCCACCCCAATCCTCTGCTGGACAGTAGAGGGAGGGGCTCCTGGCCGAGGAACACTGCCAAGGCCAGGAATCGGGACACTCTGGCCATCCAGAAGTTGCTTTGATCTTGGACAGGATACTTTTCCCTTTCTGGAGACCCTGTGTCTGAAAGACTTAAAAACCCTAAGGTCTTTCCCAGTGCTTCAGTGATTGTTTTGTACAGGTTGCAATCCTAGCCCCAAGGAAGGCACTGGCCTACAGGCCACGGGGCTGCCTGTGAACCAAGGTGTACTGCCGAGGTGAGCCCGACCACGCCTTTGTTACCTAACCTCTGGGCTTACTCCAGCTCACCAGATGCTGACATGTAATTCCCATGGGCTGGCTGACTATTCCCTTATCAATACAAAATGGAGAAGCTCTACCCACCCCTGAAAAGAGAGAGAGAGAGAGAGTGGATACCCAAAGCTGAGGTTGAAGGCAGAAGTGGGCCCTTCTCCTGTGTCTTCCTAAGCGGAATGTTCAGTGCAGTTCTTCCCTTTATTTCCTTACAAAAGCAGGAAGAGTCCCTTGGGCACAGGCCTGGCCCACAGTTATCAAGGCACGTCACTGCCAGCAAGCTGGAGCACACCCAGCAGCCCTCATCTAGAACCCATTTGCAGCCCCAAGTTCTGACTGTTGTACAAATTGACTTTTGGTTCTCAGAAGGGACCTTCTATCCCCAAATACTATATGTATATATATTTAATGCTGCCTCATGCATGACCTGTTTGACCTTAACTATGAATAACAGTATATGCCACTCAAGTTCCTGGGTGACAAATGGAAAGGCAGAGACTGAGGCCACCTTGGGTGTACAGCACAGGGGCTTTGGCAAGCTCCCTGTCTCCCTGACTCGGGCAATGTGGAAGCCCTTATTTGCCACAGCACCACTTAGTTACTGTGCCAGTCACTATCCACAGGCAAATCCTCTTCGTGGGACAGAAAGGACCCTACCCAGCCTCCACACACTCACCCACGACGCTACCTGCTTCTGCTGTGTCATGAGGAGTCACATCTCCCCCTCAAAAGAAAAATGGGATAGGGTTTTAACCACAACACAAAATGTAGCTCCTCCCAGCGGCAGGAGGGTGGCCTGTCCTGTACCAGTGTCTGCAGGGGCACCTGCCCACTGCAGGGGCTCAGGCCCCAGGGGTGCCAGCCTGGCCCACAAGGAGGGTGCTGCCTTCCTGAGGGTCAGCAGGAGTCTGGTTGCTGTGTACGATGACCGTCTTCTCATCCACGATCTCACAGGCAGGATTGGTGAAGGCAGACAGGGGCAGGGTGATTCGCTGCATCTCTCTCTCACACGCTTTCTGGTCATGCTGCTCTTTCAGGTCCTTCCCCCTGTCAGGAAAAGAGAACACTCAGGTGGTGCCTCCCCCATGGCCTTGCTCAATTAACTTCCCAAAGCCTGAGCAGGAGCTCACTCTGGTGATGGGGAATCACCTGACCAAGCCAGGACTAACACCAGCCCAGGCCCAAGACATTGGCTAGCCACCCTCCAGGCTGCCTTTAAGCTCCACAAGGCATTGCTGCCAGCTCTGTCTCTGCTCCCCTGCTGTAAGGTGGGGGTCACTGCTGCATGAGAGTCAGTGGGAACAGTGTAGAAGAAAGAAACTTAAAGCAAGGCAGGTCTTTGTTTTCAGCCCAGGGGTCCCACAGATCCAAAGAACTACCCTAGCTTCATCCCTAAGCAATGAAATTGTCTGGAAAATGGACCAGACCATCCTATTACAAGACTGCCTTCTTGGGCTGGTGAGATGGGTCTGCAAGCCTGATGACCTGAGTTCAAAAGAGAGAATCCATCTCTCAAGCTGCCCTCTGACCTCTACACCTGCAGGCAAGCACCCTCTCCACCACAAAACAAATTTTTTGTTTGTTTTAAAGACTGCCTTCTCATCCTTTAGTCCTGGAAAGTGGGAGCCCAGGCTAGAACTGAACCACTCCCAACCCAAGCAGAGGCAAAAAGGACTCGGGGCTGCATTGAACAAGGGAAAACAATGAAAATGGCTATCAAACTTCTCAAATTTGTCAATGCCTTTCTTTGGTTTTTCCTGATACTCAGTGACCCATCTGAGCCACAGTGCTGCTGTGCTTATGCAGACTACTCACTCTATGCCTGGGATGGATGGATGTAAGGGTGTGGGGGGGGGGGTAAGCTACTCACTCTATGTCTGGGATGGATGTAGGTATGCATGTATGTATGTATGATATCATCTAATGTATCATCTCACTTCATTCTCCATTCAGCCCTAAGAGTTAGTTCTTGAGCATTTTATAACCAAAGAAATGGCCCAGAGCATTTAATGGATGCACCAAGGACGTAGGATAGGCTCCAACAAGTTTATTGTGATCTGGCTGCTGTTATGAGTTGTGACCCATGGTGGTACAGGGGATTCATTCCAACTTAGGTCTTTTTTAGAGGGGGTTGATTTTTGATTTTTTGAGACAGGGTTTCTCTGCAGCCTTGGTTGTCCTAGAACTAGCTCTGTAGACCAAGATGGCCTTAAACTCACAGAGTTCCACCTGCCTCTGCTGGGACTAAAGGCATGCACTACCACCACCTGGCTTCAAACTTAGGTCTTCTAACTACACATGGAGGATGCTTCCCACTGGACCCGTCCCTGCAATGGCCAATAGACTGCATGCCAGAACCAGTACAGAACCCAGGGCAGATCCTTTGAAGCCAACAACTTGGGCTCAGCTGCCAGGGAAACCTTGTCTGAAGGAGATGTGAACTAAGTGGGTGATAAAACAGAGGGCTGTGGAGTAGAGTCCAGAACAATGGGGTGGAGGAGGGGTGATCTTCAAGGGAAACCTCTACCACAACCCAAGGATGAAAAGACCCCCGAGGGACTTTGGAGATGGGAGGATGAGGAAGTCAACACAGGTGTCTCTAGGCTCATGCAGTCGCTCAAGCACAACACACTGGTGCTCATCAACTGTTGCGACAAGGCCTTGGGCCAGGTGAAGGACGCCAACAGGCGCTGACTGCAGCGTGCTGCTGGAGAATGTGAAGGAGAGGCAGGCCACAAGAGCAGCAAGGCCAGAAGTCATCCAAGCCACAACAAGGACCGCTACATCGCCAGGACAGCCCTGCCCATTGTGTGCTGTGGAGCCCACTCATCACAAGCAAGCAGAGTAGGGGCCTCTTCCTTCCGTGAGGACCTGCTCCCTGACCTGCCCAGACCTACCCTCCAACTGAAACAAAACACAGGAGCCTGGTTCAGATCTCAGGACACAGCTGTGACCAGCTGTATTCTGCATCCATCATGTGCTGTACAGAGATAGAAGCTAGAGAACGCGGTATTGGAAGAGGACAAATGCACACGAGCCTCTCTCAATTAGCCAATTCTCCTCACTGTGTATACCAGCTCCAGACGATTTGTTTAACACTTAGCAAAACAGTTCTCTGTGCCTTGGTTTCTTCATCTGCCTCAAAGATAATGTGAAATGATTTAGACACTAGTGCAACTGTTGCATGAACTCCTGGGTTATGACTCACAGAGCAATGTTACCTTCACCTCCCATCAAAGACCTCTCCTATCACCTAGCGAAGGCAAGAACTCTTCATGTGACTTAGTGGTACCCTCCTCTCTGGGCCTTAATTTTACTATCTTAAAATAAGAAGTTGGGACATGATAATCTCCAGAGTCCTGCATGTTCTTCTGTGGGAGTCCACCATTTGAGATATGATCTGATCCCAACTGTAAGGTCACAGGAGGTCAGTAAACTCATCCTCCTATGGCACCTGGGGGACAGGGGCAACCAAGTTTCTCAACATGTAAGCCCAGGCCTAGCCCATTCTTTCATTAGCATCTGTACTGGGTATCAATTCCCACAGCAGAAAACCTCCCAGAGTGCCCACTCACAGGCAAAAACAGATACACAGTTCATGGAGAGAGGGTTCTCTAGAATAGCCATCCCCTCCCTCACATCCTGAGTCATCTATCAGCCGTGTCTGGCTGCCCCACAGAAGGAGACACATATCTGAACAATAAAAAGCCATGTTCTTCAAGACTGCTCATGTACAGAAAAATTTGGAAGGTCTGGGTGTAATTTTAGAAAGGGATCCTCCTCCCCAAGCTAGCAGTGATTTACAAAATGAAACATTCAAATATCTTTTGCCAGAGGCTAGAGTTCAGTTTACAAGAAGGCTGGAGGAAGAAGTCAAGCCAGGAACCTGTGACTTTAGGAATACCTAACCGGGGGACCAGGAATGTCCTATCACCCAGGAAGAGAAACACAACTACGCCTTTGATGGGGGCCACACGATTTTCACAAGCACTGTCCATTTCCTGCATGAGGAAGCCTTGCTTTCCTCCACTCTCCTTTATGAAGCGTGTGTCTGCAGCCTGCTGAGCAGCTGATAACTATTAGACATCATCACACACGAGTCTACGGGGGTAAAATCAATTTCTGTTAATGGGGATAGTGGGTCTGGAAGAGCAACCAAGGGTAAAGGAAGCAGACACAGACACAGTGACTAGTCTGGATTGGCCTCATCCATTTAGCAGCCTGGAAGAATGCCTGACCCCACGTGCCTGCTGTGAGTCCTGCCGGGGAATCCTGGAGACGAAGTTGCTGATGCTGCCAGACCTGCTAAACTGACCATTAGGCGGCCCAGCACCCTCTCACTGCAGTGGGGGTGGGGGGGTGTCTGACTGTTGTCAGGCAGCCAAGATAGAACAAAGGCTTATTCATCGACTCAGCTTCTCTCCCAAGGGGGTGAAATGGTGTTGACTTACCGTTTCCCTCCCTTTTTATCAGAGAATAAGAGCTCCCTGCAGAGCTAAGACAGCACTCAGCAGGGACAGGGAGCTGCCCTGGCCAAGGCCCTGGCTGCACCTCGTGCCCTAAGTTTCTAGGACAAAGGCCTAGCCGAACTGCGTTCCCTCCCTTCTACCCCCACCTTTAGCACTTCCCCCAGGAGGAAGCCTGGTGCTTGCCCACCCTCCCCAGCTCTGGGAAGCTCCCTCCATCAGCCAAGCCCTGTGGTCCTGCCTGAGTTCAAGACTTGCGGGAATTACCCTGACTGCTCTGGCCAGAGAGAAGAGATGTGATAAAGTAGAGCTGCTACCTGCCTCTAGGTTATGGAAACAAGGGCGACCTCTTCAAGGCAGTGCAGGTTCTTCAATGATTACTCCGAGCGGCTGCTGTTTTCCAAATCAGAAGCCATGCTGTGCCACCCTGCTACTCTGGGCAAGTTTCCCAAGGTGGCTACCGTACAGGCACACAACTGTATACTCAAAGCACAATGATTACATCCTCATGAGACCTATGTGCCCTCTACTGCTGTCTCAGACCTGAAAAGGCTGGGAGGGAGAGAAGCGTTAAGCCAAGAGCAGAGCTAGGATTTAAACCAAGCAATGGTGTCCTCTAAAGAAATACCAGTGCTGGGGGGAGCGGGGCTCATCGTAGCTCACTCCCTACCTGGTGAGTAAGCAGAGGCACAGAAAAGGTCAATAATGTGCCTGTGTATGACACCCACGAGTGGAGGGAATTCAGAACAAACACCTCCTTTCTTTTGTTTCTAAACTCAGTCATTCTTTGAGAAGTTTCTCTTTTTCCTACTGTCCTAAGTAAATTTAGATAAGGCTACTGGAGATAGCTGACTTTAGCTATATCTTCCTGTGCAGCCCTGGTGGCTCATGCTTCATACCTGTAATCCCAGCACTCAGGGGCTGAGTCATAAAGACCAAGAATTCCTGGCCATGGCTGAGAGCTGGCTCAGCAGTAAAGAGCATTTGCTGCTCTTTCAGAGGACCCGGGTTTGATTCCCAGCAAGCACATGAAGCTCACAACCCTCCAGGTATGGACACAGTACACAGACATAGGTGCAGGCAAAACATCCACGCATAGAAAATGGAGAGAGAGTTCCTAGCCAGTCTGAGTTACAGAGTGAGGCCCTATCTCAAAACAAAACAAGAGCCGGGCAATGGTGGTGCACACCTTTAATCCCAGCACTCAGGAGGCAGAGGCAAGTGGATCTCTGTGAGTTCGAGTCCAGCCTGGTCTACAGAGCAAGTTCCAGGACAGCCAGGGCTACACAGAGAAACCCTGTCTTGAAAAACAAAACAAAAACCAAAAATGAATGTGCACACACACAACAGCATATGGTCTGGCCACCTAGGACATGGTACTTTAACTCTTCTAGGCCTCAGCTCCTCACTAGGAAGAGCCTTGGACAAGATCAGAGAAAGGGGTACAGCAGAGCCTGACTTACCAAGAGGGCGTGAAACAAGGAACTGCTATTGTGATTTATATCTGATTATTGTCCTGCTGCTTACATTCAACATTGAACAATACCTTTGGGCGGCTGGATGTATGGGGACAAATCCCCCATTTAACTGGCAAGATACCCACCAAGCAGAGGCTGCCTGAAATGGCATTTACGTTCCAGCTCTAGCCCTGACATCTATGCCCTAACTGTGGGGAGATGAGGCTCAGAGCTTGCTTCTCACCCACATGTGGTTTCCTGTTGAACAGGCTGTTCTCAGAGCTTGTTTGCTAAGGAAAGGGGTGGTCTGAGGTTAGTGACAGTCTGGTGACTTAGTGCCTTCCCCTTAGTTTACAGGAAAGTAATCTCAAGGTCACATGTCAGTCCCATGACAGTCTAAAAGAGTAAGATGACGAAAAGAAAAAAGGCCTAGTTTCTACACTGGGCACCAGCTGAGCTTGGAATTAAGAGCAGTTACTTCAATCACCTGGAAGGTCTGGACACTGACACAGATTGGATAGCAGCCAAGTGCTGCCAGAGACTGAGGACAAGGGGAGTATTTCAGGGTTTAGGTCAGTGGCTTGTTCAGGCAGAGCAACTACACTGTTTCTTCACTTCTTAAATGAGCAAGCAGGTGCCCCTGGACCGGTACGTCAACGGTCCTTCAGTGGATGACAACCTCAGTCTGGAAGGAGTCAGGATGCTCTCTTGGGCCAATGGTTCCTGACTCCGAACCTCTCTGCTCTCTGACCCATGGACAATCAGAGAAACAAGTAAAACCATCTGTTCGAGTAAATGGAAGAGCTGGGATTTAAACCAATACTGTCAACAGGAACATCAGAGCTGCAGAGTCAGCATCCCTACCTCCTCACCTATGAGGAAACGGAGGCCCAGAAAGGGTAAATAACTCATCAAGTACCCACGTTTTATAGACAAGCACAACAGGACTGTTTGTGAACCATTTACTGTGTGCCAAGCACAGAGCTAAATGTCACACACATCTGCCCCCACAGGAATGGAGGAATGTTCTGGACTAACAGTCACACAGTTGGCAGTTTGTTCCACCTTATTCTGGATGTATAACCACAGGCAAGGCACCTATTCTTTCTTGCCTCAAGTTTCCTCATCTGAAAACTGGGAAGAATGGCATTTATCTCATAAGAGTGGCCATGAGCATAATCTCAGCCTTCAGAGGGAGGAAGAAGGAGGATTAAAACTACAAAGAGCCAGGCCTGGTGTCTTTAAGCCCAGCACTCTGGAGGCAGAGGCAGGCACTTCTTGGTGAGTTCAAGACTGATCTACCTAGAGAGATCCATGCCAGCCAGGGTTACATAGTGAGACCTTGTCTCCAAAAACAAAATAAGAACAAACAAACAAAAAAACTCTACCTCCTCCACCACCAGCAGCAACAACAGCTAAAATCACTTTTTTGCCATATAGAAAGTTCAATGCCAGCCTGAAGTACGTGAGACCCTGTTTCAAAACAAAAAGTGAAGCTGGGGCATGCCAAGTGTTAGAAGCAAGAAGCAGGGGACACCTGCTGTTGCTGAGGCAATTGTACCACACTTCCCCTTTCAATCTGTAATTTGGTTGAATCCAATACCAAGACTGATCTACCTAGAGAGATCCATGCCATGCTGGAGAGAACATGCTGGGCTTATAAAATGATTAAAGGCACTTAGTCATGGCTCAGATAATGGCTCTCACTGCTGGACAATGCAGCCCACTATATCACTTCCTTTATAGGAAGGCTTCTTGGGTCAGAGAAATACAACCGATCCTTGGCGCTAGAAGTAAAATACCCTGTTTTTGTCCAACAGCCAGTCCTATCAATGGTTTTGACTCTTAGAACCACACTGATTATGAGAGACCTGTCCCATGTGGCTTCTCAGGAGACCTTTCAAAATAAGCATCCCTCCTCCTGTGGTCCAGCTGCAAGTTTGTCCCTGCTTCCCAAGCAGCCTCTTGGACTTTCATATGTGGTAAGGAGTAGCAAATGGACTTTCTCTTGTAATCATTTTTTCCCTTCTTACCCTAAAGGACATCCCACTGAGGAAATTTAAGCCTCAGCTGTGAGACTGCAAGACCAGGGACTAGGAACCTTTTCCAGCAGCAGAATGTTTTGTTTTGACACATGGTCTCACTCTGTAACTCAGATGTGCCTACAAATGGAGACAATTCACCTCCTGCCTACTGAGATTAAAGACTACGTCTCAGGGCTGGAGAAATGGCTCAGCAGTTAAAAGCACTGGCTGTTCTTCTAGAGAACCAGGGGTTTAGTTCCCTGCACCCACAGGGTAGTTCACTGTGTGTAACTCCAGCTCCAGGAAATTCAAATCCACTTCTGGCCTCCCTAGGCACCAAGTACTCATTGGGTACACAGGCATATATTACTTGCAGACAAAAAACTCAAACAAAGAAAATAAAAATAACTCTTAGCTGCATTCAGGAGGCAGAGGCAGGAGGATCTCTGTGAGTTCGAGGCCAGCCTGACCTACAAAGTGAGTTCTAGGACAGCCAGGGATGTTTGGGTTTCTCCTTTTCTTAAGACAGGGCTGCACAGTCTTCAAACTTGTAAACCCCCTGTCTCAGTCCTCTGAGTTCTGGGATTATAGCAGGTATACACTATCTCACCCATATTAGTAGCAGAATTTTAAAATCCAACAAAATGAATCTGGTCTCTTCAGAGCATGGTGACACATGCTCACAACACTCTACTCAAGAGGTGGAGGCCAGAGGAGCTTGAGACTACTCCTTCAAAGCCAGTCAGGGCTACAGATGGAGACCTTGGGGGAGGGGGTGGTATCAGTATCGAAGTCCTTGCCCTGGCTGTCAAAGATCACCTGGCAGTGACCAAAACCAAATCTCAACTCTTGAGCTAGTTTTTCTTTCTTCAGACCCTACTTCCTTTGAAAGACACCAAGACATTGATCTGATATGGTGTCTCTTCCTTAGCCCTATTCCAAGAGAACCAGGAAGAGAAACTACTCACCTCTTGTAAGTGTAGCCCAAGATGATGCCAATTCCGATGGCAATGATGATCACCATCATAGCAACGCCCAGCACATAGCCTATGGGAACAGGACACCAGTTCTATTAGCCACACCCCAAACAATCAGCAAATGACATCATCTGGTGAATCCCAACAAAGGCATTGGTGGGACCGCCATACCCAGAGTTCCCAGGTCCTTCTTCTCCTTGGAGTTCATCCTCACACGCTGACTGATCCCAATCACTGGCTGCACCTCTGCGGCCTCACTCCTGGCTGGCAGGACGTTAGCAGGAGGGAACACCCGTGCCTCTTTGTCACCTGGTGCATCAGACTTCCCTTCCAACTCTGTTGTAGAGGCTGAAGGTACCTGGGAAGTGGCCTCTGAAGGTGAGAAAAAGACTGCCCTAAGTGGATTCTACAGCTGAACCTGTGTTGGGGGTGTTAGGGGAGTGGGCTCACCTTACAATGCCCCCCTAGTCTGAAATCAAACTCTGCCCCAGGTCAGGGATGGTAGTGAACACCTGAATTAACTCACTCAGGAGGCAGAGGCAGGAGGATCTCTTTGAGTCCCGTGACAGCCAGGGCTGCACAGTGAGACCCTGTCTCAAAACAAAAAGGAGAAGACAGCTCCCCCGCCTGCCCCAGAGGCAAGATGCAGCCTGAACGGGAAGATACAAGGCAAATGCGAGGGAAGTGTCTTAATAAGGAATGGCCTTTCTCCTGCCTCCAACTTGTTTCTTCAATTCCTTACTATCTTCCAACACCCAGCTGGGCTTGCCAGAGGGTTCTCCAGAGGATGCCCCGTCTTTCGGGAGATATTCCACACTGAGCACAAGATTTGTGGCAATCCTAGACATCTGTCTCAGTTTTCTGAAGCCTAAAGTTTTGGATACAAATCTGTACACCCCCACGGCCTCTGGCAGGTCTCCGAACTTCTAGGTGACTGAGTTCCCTCACACTGCTTCTTCCCGGGATTGTAAGTATAGTGCCTGGCTCACGGCAGACGTCCACACAGCAAAGGCTGGTGGGGCGCTTAGCTGAAGAAGCCAGCGGCCTCCCACTGTTGTTTACAAGTGCTCGCGGAGGATGAGCTCACTCCGAATGTCGCGGCGGCCAATGGGCCGTGGGCTCGGCGGCCTGGAGATAGCTCCGACCAATCAGACGGCGCGGGGGTGGACCAGGGCGGGGCGGGCGTCGAGCGGCCGCACGTGCGCGGCGGGTGTAGCCGCTCTGCTTAGCGCTGGGGGCTGGCGTCCCCTCCCCGGGGTCCAGGGCGGGTACCTGGACAGCGCACGTCCTCGCAAAGACGCTTCTCGGGGACGCCCGTCTCGCTGCTGACGTAGCACCAGGGCCCGCGCGGGTCCTGGTCCGGGTTCCGGCAGTAGTTGTGGTTGCCGGGGCCTGAGGCGGAGAGAAGAGCCGTCAAGGACCGCAGCCGCCGCCCTCCAACCCCGCCCGCCTCGCCGGCCGACACTCACTGGGCTCGATGGGCGGCTCGCGGCCGCCTTGCGCGGCCAACCAGTTGAGGCAGCGGAGACCCGGCGCGGGCGAGGGCTGGTCCTCCCGGTACAGGTGGCCGTTGTCCCAGAAGCAGCCTGTGAGGAAGAGGAACCCGCCCGGGAGCCTGAGTGCGGCTCTCTGGCCTCGCACTGTGTACCTCAGAGTTCGTGCCATGCCCCTAGCAGCGTCTGGTCCACACTCAGATTTAGCCTTTTTTTTAAGCCTGCACAAGTACAAGGGGTTGTTACCCTTGCACTTGAGACCACACGGAGGTGCAGGAGGCCTGCCTAAGGTCACTCTGTGGAGATGGCGAGTTTGGTTCTGGGCAGTCAGGCCTGGAAGTCGTCCCAGTGTTGAGAAGTCAGTGTTATATAAACTGATGTTCCCTTCTCCACGGATACGGCCACCTTCTGCTAGTTTCACAGACACCGCCAGCTCCCAAGAGAATTCCACAAAAGCCTTTGATCTAGTGAAGCAAAAGATTCGAGACTCCAGCTGAGGAAGTCTGCCACATCTCTTCAGCTCTCACTCCCCTCAGCGGAGAGCCTCGGGAGGAAGCTGGAGACGGGAGGAGGTCTGTGCGCCTGCCACACCAAGCAAAAGGACTTTAAAAGGGCAGGACTCTGGGGAGGAGAGGAGATGAACTCCCAAGCTCCATCCACTCTTGTACAAGGAAAGGGAAAGAGAAACTGACTACTTGTCTTTGTTCTTAATGGCTAAGATGGAGAGAGGGAGAGGGAAGAAGAAAAGCTTCCTTCCCTGTCCTCCTGGCCATTTTTGGGAAATCGGGGGCTCTACGCGCTCTGCTTCATTAAGTTGCTGCAGGAAGAAAAACAACTGAAATCTCACCTCCAGAGCCATAGGCTCCTGCCAGAAGCATGTTGCCGAGAAGAAATGTGTGTGCCCAAGCCAACAGCATCCTCGCCTCTTCCGGCTTGCAGGTGACTGAACCGCTAGCGTCCAAATGGGGTCTCCTTGGCAGCGGTTTTGCCTCCTGGTTCCCAGCCTTGCAGTCAGACCGGCCCTTGTTATTGCTCTTCTGGTAAACAGCCTCTCTTTAGAACCGGCAGCTTCCCAGCTAGCTTGCTGCAGCCGAGGTGTTTTTCAGCTGAAAGGCGCCCCCTGGGTCCTAAGCCTCCTAGACCATACCAGATCACTAACCCCGAGCCAAGCCAGGAACCCAGCCAAGTCAAGAATGGCAGAAAGGTTCAGGCTTTGCTTAACAGCAGATCCGTTTGAGACCTGCACGACCGCGTCCCCAGAGCTTTTCTCCTTTTTCCGTCTGTGAGCATAGTCATTGTGTCAGAAGGCATCGGGGAGTGGGGTGGATTAGCAGTGCTAAGGCACAGCCCAGTAGTAAGAGATGATACTGACACAAAAGCAGGAGGCATTTAAGATCACAAAGGCAGCACAAATAGGCAACTCTGTACCCCGATGTATACATTTAAACTACCAGGGTCAAGTCAGTCACATTCCTTTACTCACATTTGAGGTTTGGGGTGTCTATGTATAGTAGGAATGCAGAAAGGGTAGCTTTAGTTGAGAATACATGTTATGAAAACATTGGATTTGCTAGCTATACTATAAAGTCTGCCAGCCCTGAAGGAGAACACACACACACACACACACACACACACACACACACACCAGTCTGTGGGAAACTCAGTTTCAGTAACTTATACCTATCATTAAACCACATCCATGTAACTTGGGGCACGTGGAGTAAGGAAAAGGGCTCTTTTTCTATCTGCCTGGCAGTTGAAGGTCCCAAGCAGCCTCAGTAAACTGAGAGATGAAGCAGAGTGATTTGCCAAGACTACCTTGTGACTCAGGCAAATCCCAGAATAGAAATGGGAGACTCTGTTTTGATCTTACCACAATAATGTAGGGAGGGGAAAATAACACTACTAAATGTGCTTTATAGACTTTATCATAGTAGAAAGCTGATTCTAATTAGAAGTGATTGGACTCTGAGATACCTTAAAAGAAAGAGGTTTATTTTTGTGTGTGTATCTGTGTCCACAGGAAAGCTCCAGGCCCTCTAGAACAGAGGTCACAGGCAGTTGGGGACCATGGCTTGTGGCTGATATGGGCACTGAGAACTTAATTGAGGTCCTCTGGAAGAGCAGCCAGTACTCCTGACCTCTGAACCACCTCTCCAACTCACCTGAGGTGCTTTTAAAAAACACGCCGGGGCTGAGAGATGACTCAGTAGTTAGGATCACTTGTTCTTGCAGAAGTCCCAGGTTTAGTTACCAGCACTTAGCTCAAAGCCAACTGTATCCAGTTCAAGAGGATCCAGTGCCCTCTTCTGACCTCCATAGGTACCAGACATTCAGCTGGTGCACATCATACATGTTGACAAAACACTCAGACAGATAAATGCCCCCAAAAATAATTTGCATGTGTGTGGGGGTGGTATCTCATGAGTATGTGGCATGTGCCCATGTGTAGATATGGAAGCCAGAGCAGGATGTCCAGTGTCTCACTGCCCTGAAACAGGGTTTCTTACTGAACCAGAGCAGGGCTATTTTTTTCCCTTGAACCAGTATAGAGACAGGCTGGTACATGTCAGTCAGCACCTGCATCCTTCTCAGAGTGTCTGTCTGCCATGCCCATGTGTAGATGCCAATATTTCACCATCAGAAACCCCAGGAGATCTGTCACCCTCTTCAATCTTCCATAGGCACCAGGACTCACATGCACATACTTCTTAGACACACACACACCATAATTAAAAACGAATCTTAAAAACCACGCAATAGGACTAGAGAGATGGCTCAGAGGTTAAGAGCACTGGTTGCTCTTCCAGAGGTCCTGAGTTCAATTCCCAGCAACCACATGGTGGCTCACAACCATCCATAATGAGATCTTGTGCCCTCTTCTGGAGTGCAGGCAGAACATTATATACATAATAAATAAAAATTTTATTAAAAAGACCATAACAATGTGGGACCAGGTATGTAACTCAGTGGCAGAGTGATTACCTAGCCTGCATAGGACCCTGGGTTCCATCCCCAAGACTGAAAAAAAACAAAACAAAACTATGTATTAAGTATACATAAAATGGAAGTCCTTATTTTTCAAAAAAACAGCCTTGGGGTTTGTATCTTTTGGCTAAAATATTATTTCCTTAACAAGCTTCACAAAACTTTCGCCTACACTTGGTTTTTTGTTTTATTTTCTGAGACAGGGTTTCTCTGTGTAGCCCTGGCTGCCCTGGAACTCACTCTGTAGGCCAGGCTGGCTTTGAACTGAGAGAACTTGCCTCTGCCTCCCAAAGGAGTACACCACTATGCCTAGCATAACCTGTACATTTTGCATATTCCAAAATATTTTTATCACAATCTCAAGGGCAATTTTGATAGCACACCATGTGAATGGACTAGCTGGAGTCATCCTATCTATCTCACTCTAAAGAGCTTCACTGACACCTTGGCCTGATTTTGCTGAAAAAAAAAAACTTTAAAAAAAGCCTTATGCCTTTCTTATTGCAGCTCCACTGGTACATTTGGTCATCAGAATGAACTGGCAGCACTTCTTGGGAAGTGTTCTGGAGGCTACTTCTTGACATTATAACATGGTTTTGTCTCTAGGTTGGCACTCATACAATACAAAACCAGGAGTCTGTTCTTGGAGGTGTTTGATAAAAATTTACTGTTGTCTTCAAAGGACAAACAATCTAAAATATTTGACTAGTATGATATCATAGTATTATGGCAGTAATATTTTCTGAAGGAATTGGAAATCTGGAATAACAGGACATAAAATAGCCTTAATGCACCACCACATGAAGAAAAATTCAAATGTGCATGATGGGAAAAAGATCAGTCATGATGACAGATGTGTCTGTGAACTAAGCCTGGTTTCCTTAAGCTAGGCATCAGACCTATTAGGATGTTCATCTAAAGGACCCAGAAACCCTTTATGTTGCATATTTATAGACAGGGTCTCAGGCTGACCTTGAACAACTGATCCTCCTGTTTCCACCTCTCAACTATTGGATGACAGGCATGTGCCACCACACCTACCTACAAATCTTTTATTATTGAGGAAATAAAACTAAATTGTGGTAATAAATTAGTATGGGGAGAAAAAAGATGACTAAGCTGAAAAAATTGTAGTCTCTCATATGTTTTCTAGACGGTGCTGTCTTTAAGACACAGCACTGAATACAGTCATACAAAATGTGTCAGTTAGGGAGGACAGCATTTGGGGGTATGTGTTTGGTTTTGAGACAGGATCTTTGTATATAGCTCTGGCTGTCCTGGAACACATGTTGACCAGGCTGGCTTTGAACTCACAGAGATCTGCTTGCCTCTGACTCCCAAGTGCTGGGGTTAAAGGTGTATGTCCCCACACCAGCAATTTTTGAAAAAGAAAAATTAAGATACAACAACACGTTGTGGCACTGCCAGAACTCTGTCCCCTAGAAGAGCAGCAAACTGTTCGTACTGAGCTTCCTCTTCAGCCTCCACCCCAGACCTTTCATTAATGTTTAAAATGAAGGAGAAGAGTACTGTGTAAGGAAATGGAGTATAGGCAGCCTTTGTAGAACAGAACTTTTAAAGGGGAAGTAATAAAACAGCTAAGAAGTCTTGTTGATCACAAGTTACTTTCAGAAATAGAACATCCCACAGTGGAATTGAGAAGACACAGAATTTGGAATCATTACATCACTGATCTTGAGAAATAAAGAGACCAGTAATTTCCTGAATAAAAGTGGGGTTTGGTTTTGAGCCAGATTCATAAAATACAGCTTTTGCCTGATTCTTTAATTCCAGCACTCAAAGGCAGAGGCAGGCACATCTCTGAGTTTGAGGTCAGCCTGGTCTACAGAATGAGTTCCAGGACAGCCAAGGCTACACAGAAAAACTCTGTCTTGAAAAAAACAAACCAAAAAAAAAAAAGTAAGAAAGAAAAGAAAGTAAGGAGGGAAGAAACGAAGAAAAAAATCATATAGCTTTCCTATTTATGAAAACATACTCTTCAGGGTCATAGGGAGGAGACCAGAGACTGTAAACTTAGCTGTTCAACATGAGATAGTTGGTAAATATAGACTGTAGATATTTAGATTTTATTTGAGATAGGGTTTCTCTGAGTAGCCTTGGAGACTTTCCAGGAACTCACTCTGTAGTCAAGGTTGGCCTCGAACTCCTGGGGATTCACTTGCCTCTGCCTTCCGAGTGCTGGGATTTAAGGTGTATGCCACCACTGCCCAGCTAGATTTTATTATTTTTAAGTTATGTGTTTGTGTGTTTGGGGGGAAGGAGTACAGCTCCAGAAGATGTCAGATCCTCTGGAGCTAGAGTTACAGGTGATCATGAGCTCATGATATAATGCTAGGGACCGAACTCAGTTCCTCTACAAGAGCAGTACATATTCATAACTGCTGAGCCATCTCTCTACCACCTAAGTATTTAAGACAAATAAATTTAGTAATAGTTACGCTATTCTTGGAAAAAGAGCTAAAATTTCCAATCTTAGTAAACTAGAGGTCTGTTTAATACTTGCTAGCTGGAGAAATGGCTTATGAGTTAAGAGCAGTGACTGCTTTGTAACTAGTCCTGTGAAATCCAAAACCCTCTTCTGGCCTCTCTTGCACCAGGAACGCACATAGTATGTAGACACATGCAGAAAAACATCTATACACATAAAGTAATACAAAACAAAATTTGCTGAATCCTAGCATGAGCATAGCACTTACATAGAAATATATCAAATATTTTTATGAGCATCAACTTTGAAAAGATTCTGTGTTTTACTAATTGTGATACTGTTAAAAACATAGGTACAGCTGAATTGGAGGTAATGCACACCTTTAAACTCAGCATTTGGGAGGCAGAGGCAGGCGGATCTCTGTGAATTCAAGGCCAGCCTGGTCTACATAGTGAGTTCCAAGACAGCTGGAGTGATGCAGAGAGAGAACCTGTATCAACAATAATTTGGGATAACAGCAAGGTAGCCCAGAAGATTGAATGAAAATGAGGACACGGCCACTCCTAGTTATGATTGGGGAGAAGGTTTTATTTTAGATATGTGGGAAAGTACAACCAAAAGCATCTGGAAGGGTCCAAACTGAACAGGCCCATGAGGAGGGACAAACATAGGACCTGTTTACATATAGGAAACTACTGGAATCCAGGCACAGTAGCAAATGCCTGTAATTGCAGCATTAAGTCTGGGGCAAGAGAATCCCTGGGTTTGAGGCTGCCTTGGGCTACATAATGAGATGCTATCCAAAAATAAAAAAGAGAGGGGCAGCAAGGGAAAGAAACTGGCAAGGTGACCCAGTGGATAAGAATCTTGCAAACTTGAGGACCTGAGTTAGAGTCCCAGCAGGAGGCCTGGGGAGGACATTGGGTATCTTCCTCTTTCGCAATTCAACAGCTCTAATTTCCCTTAGTGTTTGGCAGCAGGAAGTGGCAACCTCTTGTGATGGTCCTCACACAGGCTTCAGGCATGGCTTCCTTAGTCCTTGGCTGTGGCAGCCTTACAGCTCTAATCCTGGGGTCTGAGACTCCCTGGAATTCTAGAGACTAAAGCC